ATGGGGCTTTGGGATTATTTGAGAGAATGGCTACCACTTCAGCAATGTGGTCATCTGAGAGGGTGATCCCAAAGAAAACTTCGAGTGTCTACGAGGTAGATACTTATTTAGCTATATCTGCTAAAATCGACTCTCTATATCACAAGATGGAAAGTATATCACAGGCAGCAAAGGCTAAGAAGAACAATTGTGAAGAATGTGGAGCTGAACATAAAACATCAGAATGCCCAATACTAATACAAGGACTTGAGCAAGCAGACTATGCACAATGGGGACAACGCCAATAGGGCAATTCTTATGGAGAAACTTTCAATCCCAGTTGGAAGAAGCATCACAACTTCTCTTGGAGCAATCAGAATCATAATAAGCCACAGAGACAATTTCAACAGCAAGAGAAGAAACCTCAATTGGAAGAAATGATAGGAAAATTCATAGAGAAGGCTGAAGCTACACTTCAGAACCAAAATGCAGTTATCAAAAATTTGGAAATTCAGGTGGGGCAATTAGCTATAGCATTGACTGGTAGAACACTGGGAAACTTGCCAAGTAACACGGAAATCAACCCCAAGGAACAAGCCAAGGCCATTACAACTCAAAGTGGAGTGCAATTACCGAAAATACATATTAAGAGGCCGGCTGTGATTGGGGAGGCAACTTCTCCAGTAGAAGAAGAAACTTTTGAACAAGATGAACAACCAAAGGAATCAACCCTCGAGAAAAGCTCAGAAAAGTTATGGGATAAAGCCAAAGTTACAATCAGCCCATATGAACCTCCAATTTCTTTTCCACAGCGGTCGAAGAAGCATAAAACGGAGCAGCAGTACAAAAAGTTTCTAGAAATCTTCAAAAGGCTCCATATCAACATTCCACTAGCCGATGTACTCTTTCAGATGCCTAACTATGAGAAATTTCTCCAGGATATTCTATCAAATAAACGTAAGTTAGAGGACCATGAGACAGCAATGCTTACAAAGGAATGTAGTGCCAGAATCCAGAAAAAGCTCCCTCCAAAATTGAAAGATCCAGGGATTTTTACTGTTCCTTGCACTATTGCTGAAGTTTGTTTCGAAAAAGCCTTATATGACACTGGTGCAAGTATTAATTTAATGCTTCTATCTGTTTTCAGGAAACTTGGCTTGGGAGAGGCTAAAGCGCCTACTGTTACACTTCAGCTGGCTGACACATCCCAGAGGAATAATTGAAGATGTGCTTATCAAAGTTAAAAATTTTATATTCCCTGTGGATTTCCTCATATTGGACATGGAAGAAGACAAAGATGTCCCATTAATATTCGGCAGACCATTCTTGGCGACAGGGAGAGCTTTGATTGATGTTCAAAGAGGGCA